GATAATGTTGATTTACTGGTGATAATGATTTGGGTCGTTTTGATGTTTTAATGTTATGCACGCTTGTCTACTTGCCCTTGCTAACCCCCTCCCCAGTCTATAACTATTACAAAATAAATAAATTGAATCTAAGAAAGCAGTTCCCTAAGAATTTTCTGTTTTTTCTCTGAACTGTGGACAGATTTCCGCTTCCACTGTTTTTACCTACTCTGAGACCATGAAGGCAAAAACATCACAAGTAACATGCCAATTCTAGATATTTTTTTGAAAAATTCTCCATGGAAGTCAGTCTTAACACAATGTTCTCCACATGTATGTCTCCATGCACTGATTCCTTTCTTGTGAAGTCAGACGTTATGTGAGAACTGACAAAAGGAAATGATGCTACAGCTGTAATTGCCATTTGACATACTATGGCTGCTGCTAGGATTAAATTCTGTAATCAAACCAGACTTTCACAGACCAACCACTTCTACTATGTTAAGATTAATCCTTCTCACTCCTGCCTTCTCCAGTCATTAGATCAGCACCTGTGTAAAACTGTGTAGGCCCCATAGTCCAGATACACTGATTTGGTTGGCTGTTGCCAGCTGAGATACAAACAGAAGCATACAGAAATGTATAAGGCACTCCAAAAAATGGCTCTACCCATTTTCGTAAGTAGACTGGAGAAGGTATGAAAGAGCAAGATGAAGACTGACGTATGTTGGTCAGGATTCTTGAAAGATACATAATGTAATCATACTAACAAAGATTGGGAGTTGCTACCCTAAGGTAGCAGTAGAAACAGTCAGTTCTACTGTTCCTACACTTCGAACCTCAGTATTACTTCAGAAACATTATTAAGTTCCACTAAGTAAGTGGAGTAATAGCTGCAGTTCCCCAGAGCTGTACCACATGCCAGTTTAATCTACTGCTCCTGTAACTTTTCTAGAATAGAAAGACCTCCCAGCAACAGAGAAACTTTTCTGTCATCTTCTGAAACAGTATTATTCTCATAAAGAAATATACAAGAAACTCCATAACAGGTAGATGTTTCATACTTTTGGGAGTATAACAGAAATGGTTTTTCAGTACATAGTCAGTAGTGCTAGAATGGGGGTTTGGGTGGCCACATAATTAGTACCACTCCTACACTAGAGTAGAAGCATGAAATCTGGGGGGGGGATGGGGAAATTCTGATGGGCAAGCACAACATTATTTGCAGAACAATGCTCCAACATAGTAACACTGGCAGGCATTCAGAGCCACAGGTGACTATGCTGTGATCCACCAATCACAAGGCTGCTTTAACCTTGCAGGGAAGGTACCAACCAACATGTAGCAATGGCACTTCATTATAAAAATAAGAGGTACCCTGTGGCATCGGATCAGAGATCCATCCAGTACTACATTCTGTTTCACTCAGTGGCCAGCCAGTTTCCCTCAAAGATCAACAAACTGGCACAGAAGCCAAGGCCTTCCCCTGATGTTGCCTCCTGGAATCTGGTATCAGAGGTTTATTGCCTCTGGAGGTTCTCTTTACTCACCATGTTCAGAAGCAGTAAAGCTTCAGTACCCGGTGCACCTTCACGTATATGCCACCCTGCAGTGGACTTTCCACTTGTCACAGCTGCAGTCCTGGCTGGTGGCATTGGCATGGGGTACGAACGTTGTAACAGTGCTGGAAGGTTGCTTTGGAGAGAAACAAGGGCTCCCAAGGCTACTCACAGACAAAAAACATACATACTAAAACCACATCTTGCTGTGTCTTTGACTAAGCTGTGGAGTAAGGGAGCGTTTTACAAGTGTACATCCATATTGCAGGAGGAGAGGGCACTACCTCAGGGAAGTACTCAGGGTAATAGGGATTGGGAGTCCCTTTTGGAGATGTAAGCTTGCCTTCCATGCCTTACCTGTTGGAGGGGTCCCGTTGTTGCAGTCCTACTTTTATCTTAATTGTATCTGGAACCGAGGCAGATTATGTGTTGATGTTCTGCGAAGAAATGATAGCAATATGCACCAGTGCCCCTGTCTTAAGCTTCCATGCCTTCTCTAAGTTTTACAGGCATGAAAATGGAGTGAATGTAGACCCATGCTGCTGCAGACGTGTTAATGTTAGAACTTTCCCTTGGTTTACTATCATGTTGATAGCTGGGGTGGTGGTGGAACTAACGCTGGGGGGTGGGGAGTGGAACTAAGTTATTGTTTCTAACTATTTGCCCAAGTGACAAAACTGAGATGTATTTACACTGCCAGTCCTAAGCAGAGTTATACAATTTTTAGGCCCGCTGAAGACAGATCTGCTTAGGATGCACTTATAGGTACCCAACCTGGTAGCTCTACATAACCCTTGGCATAGTTATAATTGTTGTATCGATAACTTTAAATTTCATAAACATTAATGAACAGAAAAAATACAGGCACTAAGTTATACAAAATATATTTCATATTCTTAGAGCAGTGAAGCTCAGGTTGAATTTTTAAAAAGTAAATATTTCATATACTTCAATCCACCCGATGATCGACAGGAAAAGCCACACAGCTGAGCCAAACCTGAGCTCTCACTGCTCTCTCCCTGAGACAGAATAACCCCCCCTTCTGTGTTTCCCTCCAACATTCCATCCCCCTTTCCTTTTTAAATTTTTTAATATGTCCATGTGTGTGTGCACCTGGAAGTCATGGCAACCTCTGGTGACTGACCCCTACTGAGGGCCTGGAGGATATTCAGAAAGGCAGCTGAGTAAAGCCTGCCCCTGCCTCTGGTCTCCCATCCAAGTACTTGCCAGAAGCAACCCTGCTTAGCTTCTGAGATCTGATCGGGCTTGTCTGGGCTAGCCAGGTCAGGGCATTCCATCCCCTTTCTGAAAGGTGATTGGATGCTGGAACAGCACTCCCATAGGGTCAGGTGAGTGGCCGTTCTCCCCTTCAGGGGCAGAACAATATCCTGTCCATCACACACACCCTTTCAGTTAATCCAACAATAAATAAAATACTGGGGCGGGGGTAGACCTGATGACTTCCCATAGCTTCAAGATTTGCACAAATTTTACATCTTTGCACTGGAATCACACTATACCATGACATGAACTGCAGAAGAAAAAAGTAAACACCCACTGTGAAACCAACCTCATTTTTTAAAAAGCAAATGGGAGAGATGTACCCTAACTGTGCATTACAGTAAATGTAAAAAAAAAAAAGTAACTGTTAGTTCAGTTATATTTTTAGAAACTTCTTACTGCCTCATCTGCCATTTTTACAGTCCCAGGACATTAATAATTTAAAAATAATCTCTCACATAACAGAGCAAGGCAGATAAGCAACTAAGCAATTATGTGCAGGAACTGCTTTGTCCACTAAAATTAGCGAGCCACAATTATCTAGAGACTTTCCTGCCATTAAACAGATGAAGTCTTCTTTTAAAAAAAAATGGAAATCAGTCTCACCAGATGGGAGTGGGGTGGTTTGTCCATTTAGCATGAATTTAACTTTCTTTAAAACTTATGCTCCCTTTTACGATTAGCAACCAGTCTGAGCACGTTTTCTCACATGCAAGCCTTAAACATTCAAGGAAATGTGGCAGGCAACCACATCCTATGAGTATGTACTTGGAAGTTGGTCTCATTGCCTTCAGTAAGATTTACTCCCAGCTAAGCATGCACAGGTTGCTAAAGCCTTCCACAGTGGGACTTGTGTATGGTTAACAGTACAGTCCTAAACAGAACTACAGCATTCTAAGCCCAGAGAAACCAATGGGCCCAGAAATGGGTCCATTTAGGATTACACGGAATTTTTGGATTGTCAAAATCTAAGAACCAGCAAAACTTCAGATGGTCTACAACAGACTATAATCAACACCAATCAGCAAGCCATTACCTAGCCATTCCAGGTATGAAAATTGGACAGTGTTTTATTAAAACAGTCAAAATGTACAAGTACTATCCAGTTTGTAGATAAGATCCTATTAAGTCAGCAAAATATGAAATCCAGTGTAGTTTAGAAATCTGATACTGACATATTTAAAGGTGATATTACATAATCATTTTGCTTTTAAAACTGACAAAATTTTGTTCTCCAAACAGTTCAGAGATTATCAAAGAAACAGTGCAACAAGAAAATGTCAAATTACATCTACATCAAAGCAAGTGACCCTAACCCTTTTTAGGTCCACAGGAAATAACCTAATACCTTGAGTACAGTTAGGGTGTGGGTTAGGTGGATTGCATCGCATGTTTCCATGTCAGGCAAATTTAGACAGTCACTGCTTAAAATACTAAAATCAATTTAACCCAAGTCCTCCCCCCATCACAAACCGATGTAACACAGTATAATTTTCTCCTTCTTGGTTTCCGTTTAAAAACTAATGCTGTAATACAATATTGAGGTCATCAAAAATAATACTTTAGTATAAAATTGTATTTTGGCCTTTATCAAATCTTACATGAATAAACTTGTTTAGCCTTTATCAAAACCAGCAGGGTTTTAAAAAAAATGAAAAAAACACAAAATTATGGCCTTTTAATCCATATCAGAATAACTTTCTGCAAGTGTTAGAAGCAGCCAAGAAATTTGGAGTCCTGTGTTATAAGCCCCCCCAAACTCCCCAAATCCACATGTAAATAAATATCCTCTTAGAACCCAACAATGGGGGTCCCATACAACAGTCAAAGTGTCTTCTTGAGATAACAATCTTTCAAGTGCATATACCAAAAGAAAAACATAGGAATGTATCTTTTTTTCTTGAAAAAAAGAAATGAATAAAACTACATCCCAAAATTCTTCAGATCACACAGAATAGTGCCTTGGGTGTTCTGTATGCTTTGGCAGCAGACAAAATGAGCTCTGAAACAGACTCTGAGCTCTTTGTTGAAAATGAAGCAGAGGATGGGGTTGACCCCTGCTTGAGCAAAGGTCATCCAGACAGAGGTGGTCAGATAGACTTGGGGGATGGCGCTGGCCTTGATGAAGACACGCAAGTAACACGCCACGATGTAAGGGGACCAGAGCAGCAGAAACAGAAGAGTGATCATGTAGAACATCTTACAGATCCTCTTCTCCGTTTTGAACTCCTCCAGGACCAGCAGCCTCTTGATCTGGCTATGGGTGGTATTCTGTCTGATGCCCACCAAGGTAGGAGGGGTCGGACCCCGGCCAAAGCCAGCCGTCCAGTTCGCAGCTGCTTGACCAGTGGCCCCGGGGCCATGGAAAGTCCAGTTCTGGCTGATGGCTGGCACCAACTGAGCAGGTTTCATCTTGCGATGGCTGTGGATGAAAAACAGGAGTTTGACATAGACCAGGTGGGTGGCAGCAATGACAGTGGCAAGCATGAGCATGAACCCCAGGGTATCGTTGGCCTTGACATAGCGGTGCTCAAAGATGCATTGCTCCTCCTCCCGGATGAACTTGTAGGTGCCCACGTCGAAGACCGGAGGGAAGGCCATGGCCATGGAGAGAGTCCACACCATACACACCACAGCCAGGCAGGTCCAGCCTGTCATGCGCTTGGCATAGAAGCGGTGGTGTGCAATGGCCATGTAGCGGGTCACGCCCACACAGAAGAGCAGAAAGGCAGCATGGAAGCAGAAGAGCACTGCCAGGAAAGCCAGCACCTTGCAGCTGAGCGGACCGTGAGGCCAGGAGCCTGCCCCACTGTGCACGGAGAGCATGACGAAGGGGAAGCAAGCCAAGGAGCGCAACCCGTCGGCCAGGCAGAGGTCCAGGAGCAGGTAGTAGGGGGCCCGGTGGAGATGGCGATCCTTCAGAATGAGCCAAGCAAAGAGTACGTTGCCAGCCAGGCTGACGCAGAGGATCAGGCCCAAGGTGGTCAGCTTGAGGCCAGAGGCGCTGAGGAGGCCTCCCGGGCTGGGCAGGTGGGGGCTGCTGCTACTTCCCAGCTCGCTGGCGTTCGCCATCTAGCGAGGCTGACGGCGGTCCGCTTCCTCCCCAACACACATGCACAGGGGAAGGGGGGAAGGGGGGAAGGTGGGGGCGGGCGGGATAGAGACGAGCTGGCTTCGCCTTCGGCAGTCAGTCACCGCCGCCGCCTCCTGCCTGGCTCCTCCACATGGCGCGCTCGCCTAGGAAACAGCCCGGAGGCGGCGCCGCCACCGCCGCTGCTGCTCCTTTCGCTTCCCCCGGAGCCCCCGGCCGAGCCCGTCCTCATCGCCACGCGCCGGAGCACGGGAAAGCCCTCCTCGCGCTCGCTCCCCCTGCTCTGCTCTGCAATCTGCTCGCCGCCGAGAAGCCGCCAGGAGAGCGGATGCCGCCCTTCCCGCCAAGCAGCGGCCGGATCAGGCGCGGGCGGCGCGTCTCGCAGCAGGCGCCCCCATTCCGGCATGCTGCGCCCAGCTTCGCCGCCGCCGTCCTCCTCCTCGTCCTCCCAATCGGCAACGCGGACGCCGCTCACCACCAGGCTCCGGCTGCTGCTCCGGCAGGGTGCGGCCGTCCAACTTTAACAGGCTCCCCGCCGCCCTGCAGGAGACAGGCGGCGGGAGAGGCTCCCCGGCAGCCTCCTGCCCTGCTGCCCAGGGACCCGCGGCTTCTCCTGCTGCGGCTCGGCCAGCATCGTGCCTTTTGTTGCACGCCGGCCGCGCGATCGCCGCCGCCGCCGCCGCCCTCCTCTCTTCCTATTGTCT